GTTAAGGGTTAGGTTTAGGGTTAGGTTAAGGGTTAGGTTTAGGGTTAGGTTAAGGGTTAGGTTTAGGGTAAGGTTTTCGCTTTATTTTTACATTTATCGATCACAGCGCGATGTTTTCGTCGCGCTGTGATGACATCACGTACGCGCTTTCGTCGAGCGCGATTTTGTCATCCGCGGTTTTGTGGTGGAACCATAATACTTAACATCTTCTTTAACAACTCTCCACATTAATATTTCCTCTCTGTATGTCTCCTCTTTTCTAACTTTTGTTTCTGTTGTCTAGCCATCGATAAAATACATCCCATATAAAAAAAATATTCAGTTTCTTCTTTATCCTTAATAGTAAGTGTTAATCTATCCATTTCTGCGCATTCTAATATTTTCTTAATTACATTCTCATCTGACGGAATCTCATCATTTTTCCATTGCTGTGCAAATACAATTCTGGTTGCAGTTAGTATATGTAAAGCCAGATGTACAGTCTTTTTATTATATTTTTCCAGTATAATGCCCAACAAAAAATATCTCTGGTTCAAGTCTACGTGTTGCTTTATCATTTTTTCCAACCAAGTATGTATTTTCACCAATATTTTTTAGCTTTTGGGCATGTCCACCACATAGTATGAATCAGTTAATTGATTACACTTCATCAAAATCCTCATATGATCCAGAGGGAGGATATAGAAAGCATCTCAGAGGGGAAGGTGCCAAAGAAATAACTTACTAGGTGGTGACATGGTTAGAATGCAGCATTGTAAACTAACTATGCCCACAGCCAGGAATTCAGTCTTGACTTATTCAAGTTGGCTTGGCCCGCCATCCTTGCAAGAACCAAGTAAAATGAGGACCAAGATTATATTATATATTGGCATTTGTAAACTGCTCAGGGAGTGCTGGAAAGCCTTATGGAGTGGTATCGCTATTACTGATTTAAAACTCTTAACTTTGGAATTCAAAACTTAAAATTATGTGGACTGAAGATGATTCAGTCAAATTCAAAATCACATCGGACATAACAGCGTGTGAATATCCTTCCGCTTAAATGTTTATTCAGTTTTGTACAAAGAGTGACCTCAACCCACACGCTAGCAATTGGAAATGTTTTGTCAGACAAGTGTTATTAAGTGTGAGCGAACAGTTATTATCAGTTCAAGGAACAAACATCTGAATAGAAACAAAGGCTTTAATCTGCAGTGGTTATTCAAGATTCTGGTTTTTTTTTTNTTCTATCACCTATCATCTATCTACAGTATCTATACCCTCTGTCTATCTCTCCATCTATGTATTCCATCACTTTTCTTTATGTTTCTGTCTGTCTGTCTATAATCTATCACCTATCATCTATCTACAGTATATATAACATCTGTATCCATCTAACTCTCCATCTATGCAATCTTTCACTTTTGTCCATATCTTCTGTCTCTCTCTCTCACACACACACATCTATCCCCTATCTACAGTACCTCTAGCATTATATCTATTTCTCCATCTATTTAATCCGTCACTTTTCTCTGTCTATATATGTTTCTATCATCTATCTATCTACCCCCCACCTCTCTCTCTCTCTCACTTTATTCCTCTCCTCAGTCCAGTCCTGGCCCTTGATGCAACCTGCAAGGTCAACATTAAATCTTCCTACATTGGAGAAACCAGGAAGCTTGAATGTATGGGAAAAGGCACCCGGGAGAACTGGAGAAATCATTTCCCAGTTTTCCCCGTTGCTGTCTCTGAAAATCTTGTGCCTCTTGCTTTGCTCTCACTTTCTTGGATTGCAAATGGGCAGACCCTCCTTGAAACAAAAATAAGACACAGCAACTAATTTTGTCAACACAATTATGTGCAACTTGCAGCTCCGCAATGTGGCAGGCCCCAAATATATTTTCATTATTTTATCGCTGAGAATCACACCTTTCTGCTTCAGCTGTTCTTTCTCTCTCAGCCCAACACCCTCCAAACGTGGCAGGAATTGGCAGAATGGAATAGGAATACTTTATTTGGCCAAGTGTGGTTTAGACACATAAGGAATTTGTCTCTGGTATAGATAGCACTGATGTGCTTGCAAAACAACAGATGATGATGATGATGATAGCCATTGAAACTATGTGATTATGGATGAAAACTTTAAGACATCTAAATTCAAGATACACAAGAACAAGATATATATTTTCTTCAGTGTTGCTTTAGTGAGTGAGATGCACATAAATTTAAGGAATAAAATAAAAATAAGAAGATAGAAACACAAAAAGATGTTTGTGTATATATGTTGCAATTGTGTGTGTGCATTGAGAGACAAATAACATGGGTTTTATTATTTGTTAACTAACATAGTTACTTGGTATTTTAATCTGGTTTATATTCTTTCTTTTAAAGTGATGTTCAAGAGTTATTAGTTTTTAAGTTTACTAAACTGATAAAAAGCTGGAGACTAGTTCCAGATAAGAAAACTTGGTTAGTACAAATTACAGCCTCTTGCCCCACAATCTGGGTCCTCATTTTGTATCTCTCTCTCTCTCTCTCTCTCTCTCTCTCTCTCTCTCTCTCT